TTTTCTTCATGTTTTTCTTGGAGGCTTTGGATGTAGGAGATCTGACTTTTTTGTCTTCTTCTGGTTGTATGTTTTGGTCTTCTTTGCCACCAAAGTAAGATTCTATGCTCTGACTCTTTTTACACTGCTTGTTCATGATTCCAGCCAATTACTTGAGTTATAAACTCTTTGTTAAGGTAGGTGTCTGCTTCCAGTGTAGAGAATGCACTATCCCAAGCTTTTGGGGTTTTGTGTAAAGGTTTTCAAATATATTTCTAGGGACCTGTAAATTTCCAGTTCTTCCAAGGTGCAGGTGAGGTATTTACTCCTTTCCTGGCCTGTACTCTGGTCTATGAGTGACCACAACCACTCTTTCATGCCTTGTAACTGTGAGGAGGATTCTCTCTGTTTCACCACCACAAGCTCCACCGTGCTAGTGCTCCTTCTTGCCCCACCTCCACCATCCAGAACTGTGACCCTGATCTAAGCATGGGCAAAGCAAGAGAACCCTGTACCAGCAGAGAGATCCCTGCAATCCCTATCTGATCAATCACTCAATTCTCCTCAGTCTGTGTGCTGGAAGCTCCAGAAGTAGCTGCCACCCTGGGGCTGCGCTCAGGGACTGGGGCTGCGACCACTCTTCTCTGTCATCGCAGAGACTTTTCCTACTGATCTTCTAAGTTGTCTTTGGCATTCATGGGTTGAGAAGTGTGGAAACTGACACAGCTGCCTGTGGTTCAGTCCTCTGAGGCTTGCTCCAAGTTAGCTGAGGCCTGCATGCCCACACTGGACTGCATTCCTCTCTCAGCCTGGCATGATATACCTTTCTGATCAAACGTTCAGGTTGCCTTGAGCTGGAAATTTATTTCACTCTGTCTTTTTATGGGTTCTTCTGCTTTAGAATTTGTTTGGAGTCATTTTTCACAGGTATTTGGAGGAGTTTGGGGGAGAGCTTGATCAAGTCACTGCTTTTACTCTGCCATCTTGGCTCTGCCTGCCAAAGACAACTTAGAAGCTCAGTAGGAAAGGTCTGTGACCAAAGTGAGAGAGAAGCTTGTTCCCAGTCCCAGTCACAGTGTGGCCCTGGGGTGGCCACTGCTTCTAGAGCTCTTGGCCCACAGATTGAGGGAAAATGAGTGGCTGATCAGAGGGGAAATGCAGGGATCTCTTTGCTGTTGCTGAGACAGAATTCTCTTGCTTTGCCCATACTTGAATTTGGGTCACAGTTTTGGGTGGCAGTCCTGGGGCAAGGAGGAGCCTTGGTGTGGTGGAGCTCCTAGTGTTGGTAAAGAGCAAACCCTCCTCACAATTCCAAGGCACGAAAGAATGGTTGTGGTCACTCATAGACAAGAGTACAGGCCAGGAAAGGAGTAAACACCTCACCCTTGATCATAGCACCTTGGAAGAACTGAAAATTTACAGGTCCCTAGAAGTATCTCTGAATACCTCTGCACAAAACCTCTGAAGCTTGGGACAGTACATTCTCCACATTGGAAGCAGACCTTAACAAAATGTTTAAAACTCAAGTAATTGGCTGGTATCATGAACAAACAGCACAAAAAAAGTCAAACCATAGAATCTTATTTTGGTCAAAGAAGATTAAAACATACAACCAGAAGAAGACAACAAAGTCAAGGTTCCTACATCCAAAGACTCCAAGAAAAAACATGAATCAGTCCAAGGCCTTGGAAGAGCTCAAAAGGATTTTGAGAAGCAAGTAAGAGAAGTAGAGAAAAACTGGGAAGAGAAATGAGAGATGCAAGAAAATCATGAAAGACAAGTCAACAGCTTGCTAAAGGAGACCCCAAAAAAATACTGAAGAAAATAACACCTTAAAAAAATAGCCTAACCCAAATGGCAAAAGAGGTCCAAAAAGCCAATGAGGAGAAGAATGCCTTCAAAAGCAAAATTGGCCAAATGGAAAAGGAAGTCCAAAAGCTTACTGAAAAAAATACTTCCTTAAAAATTACAGTGGAGCAATTGGAAGCTAGTGACTTTATGAGAAATCAAGACACTGTAAGACAAATCTGAAAGAATGAAAAAATAGAAGAGAATGTAAAATATCGCATTGGAAAAACAACTGACCTGGAAAATAGATCCAGGAGAGAGAATTTAAAAATTATTGGACTGATAGCCATGATAAAAAAAAAGCCTACACATCATGTTTCAAGAAATTATCAAGGAAAACTGCCCTGATATTCTAGAATCAGAGGGTAAAATAGAAATGGAAATAATCCATTGTTTACCTCCTGAAAGATATCACCAAAGGAAAACTCCTAGGAATATTGTAGCCAAATTCCAGAGTTCCCAGGTCAAGGAGAAAATATTGCAAGCAGCCAGAAAGAAACAATTCAAGTATTGTGGAAACACAATCAGGATAACACAAGATTTAGCAGCTTCTACATTTAGGGTCTGCAGGGCTTGGAATAGAATATTCTGGAGGGAAAGGAAATAGGATTACAGCCAAGAATCACCTACCCAGTCAAACCAAGTATAATCCTTCAGGGGAAAAAATGGAAATTCAGTGAGGTAGAGGACTTTCAAGCATTCTTGATGAAAAGACCAGAACTGAATAGAAATTTTGACTTTCAAATACAAAAGCTCAAGAGAAGCATGAAGAAGTAAACAGAAAAGAGAAATCATAAGGGATTTATTAAGGTTGAACTGTTTTCATTCCTATATGGAAAGTTGATATTTTTAACTCATGAGACCTTTGTCAGTATTAGGGTAGTTGGAGACAAAAAAATTATATGGATAGATAGATAGGTAGATGGCACAGGGTGAGTTGAAGATAGAGGGGTGATATCTGGATAGTAAAATTAAGGGGTGAGAGAAGATTATACTGGGAGAAGTTGAATGGGAGAGGTAGAATGGGGTAAATTATCTAACCTAAAACATACAAGAAAAGGCTTTTACACTGGAGGAGAAATGGGGGAAGGTGAGAGGGAATGAGTGAATCTTATTCTCATCGGATTTGGCTTAAGGAAGGAATACCACACTCAATTGAGTATGGTAATCTGTATTACCCTAGAGGAAAATAGGGGGAAAGGGAATAAGAGAGAGGGGAGATGATAAAGGGGAGGAGAGATTAGGGGAGGTGGTAATCAGAAGCAAATACTTCTGAGGAGGGACAGGGTCAAAAGAAAGACTAGAACAAATGGGGGGTGGGATAGGATGAAGGGAAATATAATTAGTTTCCCACAACATGATTATTATGGAAGTGTTTTGCATGGTTACACATGTACAACCTGTTTTGAGTTTCACCTTCTCAATGAGGGTGGGTGGGGAAGGAGGAAGGGAGAAAATTTGGAACCCAAATCTTTAAAAACAAATGTTAAAAATTGTTTTTACATGCAACCGGGAAATAAGATATACAGGCAATGGGGTATAGAAATCTATCCTGTCCTACAGGAAAATAGAAGGGGAAGGGGATAAGAGAAGGGGATGGGGAGATAGAAGGGAGGGCAGATTAGGAGGAGTATTGAGAATGCATGCCATCTTTCGGTGGTGTGAGGGACGAGATGGGGAGAAAATTTGGAACTCAAAATCTTGTGGAAGTAAATGTTGAAAATGAAAAAACAATTAAATTAATAAATACAAAAAAATGCTTCCACAGGGTCAATAATATTCTTTACAACTTTATAACATTCAGTTTTAATGTTTTGTGGTTGTTATTCTTTCCATTTACTTTGTGACCTTCCCCCTTGCATCTCACATAACACTTTGTTTTTGCCCATCTCTAGTGCTCTTATTGGGGCATCTATGTGGCTCAATGGATAGAGTGCTGGGCTTGGAGTCAGGAACATTAATTTTCCTGAGTTCAAATCCAGCTGCAGACATTTACTAACTGTATAACCCTGAGACATTCACTTAACCCATTTGCCTCAGTTTCCTCATCTGTAAAATGAGCTAGAGAAGGAAATGTCAAACCACTCCAGTATCTTTGTCAAGAAAACTCCAAATGAGATCATGAAGAGTTGAACATGACTGAACAACAACAAATGCATGTATCACGGATTATTGTGTATCTGAATTATATATGTCTCTTATCCTTCTTGTAGATTTACTATCTAAACTTTTTATTTTCCTCAGTTACGATAGTTCTCTGAACTGTAGAACCTTAAGAAATATTTCTTAAATTGAAAGGAATTATGGGGACATCTTGGAAAATAAGATGGAATAAGAGTTATGCAGTGAGGAAGATAGTTCTTAACCATATTCCTCTAGAAAGGGCCAAAATAAAAAGATCCTGGCATAGGATGGTAATAGGGCTTACAATCATATATTTAGACCTGGAAGGAAATGCAGAGATCATCTAATTCCAATCCCTTCATTTTACAGATGAGAAAAAAATGAGGCCAAGAATGGTTAGACTGAACCAAAGTCACATTGGAAGTATGAGAGCTTAGATTTGAACCCAATTTATCTGACTCCACATCCAACACATTTTTCACTTTACCACACACAAAGCATGTCCTTAACGACTTCTTGTAATGTGCAGAAATATCAGATGACCTCTTAGTCAGTGTCATCCTTAAATGTCCCAGAGAAGCAAAGCACCAAATATCTTGTGCTTTAGGAGAACCCTATTTTATACCTTAGATCACTAGAGAGTGGTAAGAAATGGCTTCTTTGGAATTTGGAGCAGAATAAACAAATATTAGAGGCTTGTATTTATTGGACCCTGCCAGCCATCAAAAAAGGCTCAGATTCCCATTCAATGGTTTCGACTCTTTCAAGTTTATAGAAATTGACCTTTGATGGATCATAAAAGACATAGGAAATCAGATAAGAAAACAGCTGTATTCCTTATAATACCCCAGAATGTTCTCAGTACCTTTTGATGAGGATTCTAGCTTACCTGAGACCTTATTACAAAGAAATCTATGATAGGTAGCAGAGCCATTTGCAAATAGCAAAAGTTGGCAAGGAGAGTTAGGGAGGCTTTGGGACACTCACACATGCTCCTTGCTTCTGTGATTGGCCTCCAGAAGGGGATGCTGCACAAGTTGAGCCAGGCTCTTCTGAAAATGAAGCACAGTGCCCTCCTCTCACTTCCAGCCCTGGTGCCCACAGCTCCTCAAGACACTCAGAACGCTTGAAGCAGTGTCAGCCAATGGAATGAGCAGCCAGAAAGTAAGCAGACTCATTGAAGGATAGCCTGCTCCTGGAAATTCACAGGAAGGACTTTCTTCTCCTTGAAGTAACCAATCTCTTTGGTGCCACGAACCCACCTACCCCCCAACAAGAGAGGAACCCCAGCTTCATCCTGCTGAGCCATGACCTCTGTGCCCATTCTCGCCCTTGTGATGCTCTTCATACCTGGTGAGTAAAATTGTATTCTACTCATTTTCTTTGTTCCATTTTGAATCTGTTTTGAGCTGTATTTCCTTCTCCTTGTAGTGATTTCCTTTTTTATTTTTATTTTTAATAGGAAGAGCAGAAGCACAGTCAGTGACTCAGCCTGAAAATCAGGTCTCTGTCTCTGAAGGGTTTCCAGTAGAGTTGAAATGCACTTATTCCTCTTCTGGGGCTGCTTATCTCTATTGGTATGTCCAGTATCCCAACCAAGAGCTTCAAGTCCTCCTGAGACATACTTCACAGGAAAGCAACAAAGGTTTTCAGGCCAACCTCAACAAGGATGAAACCTCCTACCATCTGAAGAAGCTCCATGTCCAAGAGGAAGATGCAGCTGTGTACTTCTGTGCTCTGAGTGACACAGTGAGAGGGCTCACAAGGGGAGCTGAGCACAAACCTCCTGAGACAGTCTTTGAAATGTTCCTCAAAGGGATTTTTTTTTCTTTTCTTGTCAGAATCCTTCAGACTGGGCAGTGCTGTTCTCAAGGAAGAATAAAGATTCATAGTATCATAAGATTTAGAGCTAGAAGGGACTTTGGAGATTGTCTAGGCCAGGGGTCAGCAAACTTTTGTCTGCAAATGATCAGATAGTAAATATTTTAGGCTTTGCCAGCCGAGAGGCAAAACAGAGGATTTTATGTAGGTACTTACATATCAAGAGAGAAATCACATTTCCCTAAAATTTTATAGATAAAATTCAAAATATAATAATAATAATAATAATAATAATAATAATAACAATAATAATGATAGAATACAATTTTTTTTGGCAACTCTGGTCTACTAATGAGAAAAATAGAATTCTCTTTTTGGGGAATTACAATTTGCTTAATTAGGGTTCAAAGTAGTGCTCCCTTTCATCAAAATTAATTGTACATACTCATCTGTTAATGGAGTTCTATAGTGAGATTTAATGTATTTTTTCTTTGAAAACGTCCTTTTATATAGATAGGTAATGACAAAACCTGTCATAAGTTCATGGGCATATAATTTGGCTGAAGTATATTCATTGCTTAGAAGGAATTTATAGAATTCTCTTAGATCTTCTCTAGATATTTGCCTCTTAGCATGCTATTGCACTGCAGATTTATCTTACCCAGTTGGAGGTTAGGTGGAAGTTCCTAAATTGCCCAGTTGAATGGATTTTGAAACATGGAAATTTCTTTTGCTCTTGCACTGAGGTCTGAAAATCACTGCTGGAACTGTAGCTTGAGCTCAGAAAATAAATCTGTTGCAAATCTGTGAGGCAATGGAGATCTTGTTTCTTGTTTAACTTGTGACAATATGGGAAATTTACAAAGCAGATTGGCATGACTTGTGATTCAAACAGTGTTAATTGTCATTAAATGGACTTAACTGTTGTATAGGTTTCAAATATAAACACTGTTTTGCCTTATAATTTTAGGTTGAATTAATTAAGAAACATGATCAACTTTGTAGCAAAAGCTACTTTACAAAGCCATTCAGTGTTCGATAATAGTGCATGAGGACAGTTCTTATTCACAAAAAATTCAATCTTGGCCAAGAACTAAAAAAAAAAAAAAACAAACCCAACTTTTTAATCCCCTCTTTTCATGTTTTGACATGATGAATATACACATGTAATAAAAAATTATGGTATAACGAGACATGTGGCACTAAAAATGGTGTTGAATTATAAATAAGTCACTGATTTGTAGTGCTTGGAGTAAAAGTGAGAAATAATGAGAGCATCGCATATGTCTTAGACACAACTACTCAACTCATTGCAGCACTAAAGCAGCCATAAACAAGATATAAATGAATGAGTGTCCCAATAAAACTTTATTTATAGACCTCATAATTTGAATTGCATATATTTTCAATGCACCATGAAATATTATTCTTATTTTGATTAAATGTAAAAAGCATTTTTTAGTAGACTGTACAAAAATAAGTGGTGGACTTGATCTGGTCAGTGGGCCATAGTTTGCTTACCCCTGGCCTAGATCAATAGATTTAATATTTAATTTATTTATTATGTATATGTATATACATATTATGCATATATTATATACTATATGTAACATATATTTATATTTAATAGATGAGGAAACTGAGGCCTAGAATATTCAAATGACTTGGCCAAGGTTTGTAGATGGGAAGTAATAGATATAATACTCAGTTTGTCCAGATACAGAAAAATGTCAATTTTCTTTATAAAAACTTGTTTGGCTAAACCTTCTTGTAGACATGACTCAACCATTTAAAATACCTATATTTGTTTCTGTAAACACTTAATAGTTGTTGGGAAAGCAAATTCCTTTGCTTTCTAATGCTTCCTAAGCATTCTTTTCTTGGACCAGAGCTAATAACTAGCAGTAAAATGACAGACCAGAAATTTCCTTTTTCTTGTGGTTGTTCAGTCGTTTCAGTTGTGTTTGATTTTTCTTGACCTCATTTGGTGTTTTCTGGGTAAAGATGCTGGAGTGGTTTGCCATTTCCTTCTCCAGCTCATTTTTACGGATAAGGAAACAAGGCAAACAGGGTGAAGTGACTTGCCTAGGTCACACAGCTAGGAAGTGTCTCAGGCTGGATTTGAAATCATGAAGATGTGTCTTCCTGACTCCAAGCCTCATACTCTATCCACTGTGCCACCTAGCTGACTGAAATTTTTTGTTGTTCAGTCATGTTTGACTCTTGATGACCCCACTGGGGTTTTCTTGGCAAAGATATTGGATTGGTTTGCCATTTTCTTCTTTAGCTCATTTTACAGATGAGGAAACTGAGATAAACAGAGTTAAGTGACTTGCCCAGAGTCACAGAGCTAGGGAGTGATTGAGGCCAGATTTGAACTCAGGAAGATGAATCTTTCTGATTTCAGGCCTGGCACTCTATCCACTACCTAGTTGCCCTTACTAAATGATTATTGACTGACTGAAATTTAAAAAAAAAAATCATGGTACATTGTTTGTCCTGCCCAACTGGATATAGGGAGCTATACAGAGAAGTCTGTAGATACTGAATACTGGGGTTGGGTCAGGAACACACTGTGGAGAACTCCAGTGCCCAGGGAGAAGTTGTGTGCCAGGGTAAAAGGAGATCCCAGACTTAAATTAGGGCTCCAATGAAGTCATAACAGGGCAGTGCAATGGAGAAACATGTGAACTGTTATCTTTGTCATGAGCTATCCATTTTGAGGCTGCAGACCTAGGGTAAACTGAGAAGAAGACCTGCTCATGGGAATGTTCCAGGTAGGGAGACCATGGGCAGTTCACTAACAAAGGAAGAAGTTTGAAAGCAAGCAGCAGCAGCAGCAGCAGCAGCAGCAGGGTAGGTCAGATCCCAGAGCAGAAGATCTTGTTCCTAACATCTAGTGCAGCCAGGAGAGGATAACTAGTACAGGAATTCCAGACCGAAGGGAAGCCTGCAGTTCTACCACTCCTAACCAACAGAGTTTCTTAGGCAGCTTTTAAAGTCAGAATCCAGCAACAGTCTGCTCTTGCCCACTCCCAAACTGAGGTCAGGACCTTTGAGAGCTGAGACCAGGCAGGCAGCAAACAGACTTTGCCCTGCACCAGACTACTCTAAAAGCACTGAAAGTTTTAATGTTCTCAGTCTATTTCTGAGATCTTGGAATGATACCACATTCAATAACTCAAAAAAGAAGCAGCAGGACCAGCCCAGAAATGCCCTTTAGAAATGCCAAACTGACCAGGTCTAATATCAAGTTTGAAGTCAGGAAATAGGCTTGAAGAATGAACTAAGAAAAGAAGCCCACCTTAAAGAGCTATTATGGTGTCAGGGAAGCTCAAGAAATGAACTCAGAAGAAGGTAATAACTCTCAAACACTTACAAGCAAAGTCTCAGAGAAAAATATTGCCTGGACAAAAATTCAGCTAGGATTCTTGGTAGAAATAAGTAAGAGTTAAAATAATTGTATAAATGAAATGAGAGCGCTTGAGGAAAAAAAAATTTAAAAATGAGAGCTATGGAAGAAAGAATTAGAAAGAGAATTAACAGTTTGACACAAGAAGTATAAAACTTGCCTAAGTGACAAAAACCTTGAAAATTAGAATGGACCAAATAGAATTTAATGACTCCATGAGGCAACAAGAAATATTAAAAGTCAAATTGATTTAAAAAATTTAATAACTGATTTTCAAAAAAAAAATAGAAGAATCCACTGGTCACCCCTTGAAAGAAACCTTTGAATGGGAACTTCTAGGAACAGTATAGACAAAATATAGAGTTTCCAGGCAAAGAAAAAATATTGCAAGTTGCCAGAAAGAAACAGTTGAAGAACTCAAGCTCTATCATCAGAATCACACACGATTTAATAGCCACCACAACAAGGGAGGGGAGAATTTAGAATACAGTATTCCAGGAGGCAAAGGATATGTGATAACAGCTAAGAATAACTTAGCAGCAAAACTTAGTATAATGATACAGTAGGGAAAAAATGGACTTTTAATAAAATGGAGGTCTTCCAAGAATTCCTGATAAAAAGACCAGAGCTGCAGACAAACTTTAAAACTCAAATATAAGAATGAAGAGAAACATGAAAAGGTAAATATGAATCAACAATAATAAAGAATTAAACAAGGATAAACTGCCCACACTCAAATAAGGGAGGATGATACAGGTATTCCTTTGGAACCTCATTATCATGAGGAATGATAAAGGGGGTCTAATTAGACAAGGCTTAGGAGTGGTTCTGTTAAGTCTTCATGATCTTAAGAGAAAAAATAGCAAGAGAAAGGAAGAGGAATACATTGGAAGGAGAGAGAGAGAAGGGAAAAGAAAGTTAGGGAAAATTATCTCACATAATCAGGGTGCACTAGTGGACATCCATGCAAATAAGGAGGAGGTGGTAGGAAGGAGTGGCTGACCCTTGAACCTTACTCTTATCTGAACTGGTGAAAAGAAAGAAGAATACACATACCCAAAAATGGGTACAGAAAAACATTTCACTCAATAGAGAGATAAGAAGGGTAGGAGAATTTTAGGAAAGCTGGTTTAAGAAAGATAGTCCTAAGTAAAATAAACTCTAAGAACACACACAAAAAATTTATATTTCTGAGGTAAAAAGAATGAGAATCTGAAGGGTTAGTCAAAATTGGAGAGTGGATGAGCAAGTTATGATATATAAATGTGATAGAATACTATTATGCTGAACTCTTATGAGAGTAATGACCAACCACAATTCCAGAGGAGTAATGAAGAAACATGCTAATCACTTCTTGATAGAAAGGTGGAGGACTCAGAATGCAGACTGAAACAAATTATATTTTTATATACATATGTGTGTATGTACATATATATACACACATATGATACATGCACACACATTGGACATGGTCAATGTGGAAAGTTGTTTTGATTGACTACATATCTTTGTAATGGGTTTTGTTTTTCTGGTGTTCTCAGTTGGGGAGAGGTGTGGGTTAGGAGAGTGAAAAGGCAACTTTGGGCTTTTGATTAAAACAAATAAAAAAAGAAAGATAGAGCACTTTAGTGACAGAGAACCTGGTTTCAAATCTTTTATTCTGATGATTACTGCACGTGCCTTCTTGGCCAAGCCTTGGTCCTCAATTTCCTCCTTTGCAAAATAAGGGAATTGGACTACGTGTAAAGGAAGGCTCCCTTCCAGCTTTGAATCTATGATCCTAATGAGCCTTAGGGCTCTTTCTTTTGAGCTGCACCTACACGAATCCCATTTTTATACAGA